TCTTACCAGCACCACTGGCATTGCAAGGGGTGTGTATTTAAAAAAAAAAAAAAAAAAAAAAAAAAAAGGTTTTCTTCCCCCCCCCCCCCCTTTTTTTTTTAAGCCCAGGTCGTTGTAGAGGTGGGATACTAGACAGATGGCAGTCACCCACAGTACTCGGCCACTTGGTTGTCCAGATGAACCCCTCTGAAGTCCCCACCCACCCTTCCTTTTATCTTCTGCCGTGGTGCACCCCCACCCCCCCTATCCTACCCTAGTGTTAGCCACCCAGGACCATCGCCTATTGCCTTCTTGGTGGGGTGACCTGACCAGACAACGGTTTCAGGTACCGGGGCTAAGCAGAGATGCCTAGCCCCTGCTCAGCCCTAGTTGAAGCAGATGTCGTGCAAGCCTGATTGCACGGGGACTTTGGGAGCTAGGTTTGAACATGCTACTACGGGTCTTCATGAGGGTGCACAGTGACGCCCATCTAGCTTAGTTGTGTGGTGATGATAGAAAGCTGGGTATCCTTCCGTTCCCTCGTATGTCCCTGGGGCCCGTTCCGACCATGACATCCCCGACATCCCGTACTAAAGAAATGCTATGCCAGCCTCAACCCTATGCTATGTACTAGGAGGATAGTCAACCCAACGTCATGAGTTATGGACTGAGTTTCTTTATCCTTATGTTGTCTTTTTACTACAGTGTACTATGATGTTGATGGTAGAGAGATGGGGATCCTCCGTTCCCGTGTATATCCGTGGAGCCCGTTCCGGCCCCGCGGTAAGGTGCAGTATCTCCTGACATCCCCGACATCCGTACTAAGTACTGCTATGCCAGCCTCAACTCTAACGTACGTACTAGGAGGATAGCCCACCCTCAATCGTAAATCATAGACCGTATGTATTGACCCTGGATAATCTCTTAGCCTGTGTTGTTTGGTAATCTGAGAGGAGACAATCCTCTGCTCCCTCGTATGTCCTGGAGCCCGTTCCAACCCAACAGTAAAGTGCACTATCTCCTGATACTCCCGACAACCTGTACTAAGGAACTGCTATGCCAGCCTCAATTTCTTCCCCCTAGGGCCAAGTCCCACTACCTTCTTCCCCCAACCATAACGCGTATGGGTTGTGTTCTTTTTTTTTTTTTTTTTTTTTTTTTTGGGACAAATGCTCCAGTCTATTCGTGGGGAGCAACATGTGCTGGGAACCGGGCCCAACGTCCCATATAAAATGATACAAAGGATTTGGACTACCAGGGTCATTACCTGGCTTCGGTTAAGAACAATCTGAGAATTTTGGCTAAGAACAATCTGAGAACTACAAAAAGAGTTCAAGAATTTTGAGAGGGTTGTTGTAGCGGACCTCTGGTTGGCCTGTGAGAACAGCCCCTTGGTTTGTTCTCACAGGCCTGTGTTTTATTCAGGGCAGTTCAGTCCAGGCCGGTACCTTTGTCAGTACCAGCCAGTCCAGTCCAGTCTCGTCAGTCCGCTGGGGTATACCCCAGCCATTGTCTATTTTTGAGACCATTCTACACTTGCACGATTTGGAGTACGTGCGCTGAAGTCTTGCGTGGGAGCTGCGCTGTGCTGTCTCGCTCCTCCCTTATCCTCCATCTCCGTCATCATCCCTAGCGGAGCACCACACCTGGTGGGTCCGCTACATTGGTATCGGAGCGGGAACATTCCCCGCTCCCACCCACCACCCCGTACAACTGGGAAAACAACGGGTTTTTTTCGCTCTTTTTCGCGTGTTTTCCACCGAAAATGAGGGAAAAAGCAGACGCATGCAGGAGGCAACATGTAGCGGAAAAAAACAGGCGCCACCACGAGGGCAAGGCCAAGGCCGCCGCACGCGAGCGCGCCACTCGCCCCCGCTGCCCCCGCTGCCCCGCCCCGTCCCGCTCCCGGATTTACATTGTGAAGATCCGGGATTTTTGTTGCCGCTGGGGTTTGAACCCAAGTGCCTGCTGGGCCATGCACATGCGTAAGCACCTTGATAACACACTCGCCACAGAGTGTACATGGCACTGTAGTACGGCACTCGTGTTGAAGAGGTGTCGTGCTGGCTATTAACCCCCCCCCCCCCCCCCCCC